GGGGAATTGTGTATTTGAAGCGGCATCATTTGAAGAAAAAAAGATTTCACACACTGACACAAATCCTTGAGGAGGTTTACTAACTGGTTAGGGGAGCTAAGGCTGCTACTTGCGTGATAGGAACTATTGGGCTCCTCACATCTCTGGGAGTGTTTAATTGCAGATATTTAAAGTTGTTTTGTAGCTGGGTTCAACAGCTCTCTGCCACAATCTGTGTCTTCTGATTAGATTGGTTTTCATCTGTGGGAAAACTCACCTGACATTGGTGTGTCAGAAATGGACAGAAAATAGCTTATTTTCTTTAGATGAGCTGATAGATTTAATAAGATTAAATGTGAACAGTAAACAAGTTTCTTCGTTTACTACCTAATAGGTCTTCTTTAGGGTAAGGCAATTTTATAGTCAGGGGAGTGTCCAAAATGAAGACAAAACATATTTTGTACTTTGCAAAAAAGGACTTGCCCCATATCACTGTATTCAGCATATTTCCTTTGTTAATAAACTACAAAAAAAGGGTCAGGACAGGTTCTACACATCATACGTTTTCAATACTTTAAATGTCGGTTCCATTCTGGCCCAACCTAGAGACGCACCAATTGATCGGTAACCGATCGCAGTCGGCCGATAGCGCTTTTGTTTTAGTGAGAAGGTACACCTCAGAATCATCTGTGCAGTCAATTAATCAGGATTATGATCCCACTAAATTATGCAGTTCTTGTTCAGAATGACAGACCCTCAGCACACCGGCAGCACTGGGAATCCCCACTGAAACCACGGTGCTTAGGTCAGCCTGTGGGGGATTTCCCGTACCATTCGTAGTGGCTTAAAGTAAATATAAATACTTTTTAAGGTTTGTGGTAAAAACTATATGTATCAGAATATACAAATGAGTATTTTTCATTGGCAGGTTTTAACTTTTTTAGTTCATTTGGGTATTTATAAACTCTCTCGTCATCAAAAACTATCAGAGCTCTCCTTTTTTCTTTGTAGCCTACATGACAAAAAGCTTTAAAAAAAAAAAAAAAAAAAAAAAAAACCTTGGAGTTTAACTCCTTTATATGCATTTTTTTTTTCATATGCAGACAGCTCTACAGAAGCGATACCGGCTTGCATGTAGTGTCTGTCTCCACCAAAAAAATAAAAATTCCTGGATCAGCTTTTCTGATTGGTTGATGCTCTGGGGTCCAGTGGCAAAAGTTAGAATTTCTGAACTCCAGCTTCAAACACTCGGACGCCAGAACGCTCGGATGTTCCACTTCCAATGTTCAGAAGCACCGCGGGACCTCTGTTATCATGAGAGATGGCCCTTTAATCAGTATTAGTAACAGGAGCATCTCTAATATTAACGTGTCTAAAGGCAGACGAAGCTTTACCTAGTTGACAAGAAAACTGAAATAAATATGTTTATGGTGAACAAAGCAACTGCAAGACCCAGATATAACGGGGGCAGAGCTGGGTGGGTCTTTGGCTAGCTGTGCTCAGTAGCTAACAGGTAAGCCTCTTTCAGCTCAGTCAGTCACGCATATTAAGCTACACTTCACCATTTATTTCTACAAGTAGAATAGGTGCTGTTTTCTTTGTCTAAAATCTCCACAACAGTAATTTTTTAAGATGTTCCAGTTATCTTTCCCTGCCCTAAGTGTGTGTGTGTGTGTCACAGTTAACGCAGATATGCCCTCGCCGCTTCGGCAGACACTCTGGTGCACTGCCCCAAAATTGTAGGTGACCGCAGACAATGCCATGGACAGGAGGCTTTCGATTGGTCAAATCTACATTATGCGCATTTCCTGTTTGGTACCTTACCGGCTTGTTTTGTTTGTATTCCCGCCATTGTGTAAACGACTCATGAAGTTTGATCAGCTTGAAGAGCGAGGTGCGTGAGAACGCTGGGACCCTTTTTCTACCTGGTTCCCCGCTCTTTTTCGCCCTCATGTCCTTCTGTTGTCACACAAACTTGCCCTTTGCACATACACAATTGTGCGAGCATTGTGCAACACGTTTTTTTTACGCTAACAGCAACATGACCAACATGTCATGCTAACCCCGAAAATCCCTCATACTCCGTCAGCAACCCCCGCTCTGCCCCGCTGCGCTCCAGACCGGCTGCTCAAAGCAAAGCCTACAGCCTCCGCTGTGGCTTCCTTCCGCTCCCCTCTGAGTCCCTTGGAGATGGTAGAGAGCATGCGTGAGATGATTAAATTCAAAGCAGCAAAACATACGGAAATGATCCAGGGTTTCCGCGGATCATTTAAAATAATTACAATCCATTATTTTTTGGGGGATTTTTTTCATTAATTCCATAATTTTTTTATGGTATTTCGGTGTAACAATCATCATGTATCGAACCGAACCAAAAACCGTGACCAGAAACCGTGAATCGAACCGAACCGTGGATTTTGTGAACCGTTCCACCCCTAATACATATAATGATACATTTGTATTAGGGGTGGAACGGTTCACAAAATCCACGGTTCGGTTCGGTTCACGGTTTTGTGGTCACGGTTTTCGGTTCGGTTCAGTATATGTTTATTGTTACACCGAAAAAAAAAAAAAAAAAAAAAAAAATTAAAAAAATTTTTGAAAAAATGAAAATTTATGAAATTAATGAAAAAATCCCCAAAAATGTATGAATTGTAATTATTTTTAATGATTCTCGGAAACCATGGATCATTTCCGTGTGTTTTGCTGCTTTGAATTTAATCATCTCGCGCATGCCCTCTACAATCTCCAAGGAACTCAGAGGGGAGCAGACGGGAGCCACAGCAGAGGCTGCGGGCTTTGCTTTGTGCAGGCGGTCTGGAGCGCAGCGGAGCGCTGAAGGAGTATGTGGGATTTCGGGGTTAGCATGACATGTTGGTCATGTTGCTGTTAGCATAAACAAAACGTGTTGCACAATACTTGCACACTGTTGCACATTTATCCACAACTTTCTTTCCGCCGTCATCGTAGGTCACTCTAAATGCAAAGTGGTCCCATACAGCAGACCTATAAAGTGCTGCTGGCGCGTCTTCCAACTCCTGTTCTTTCCCACTGGCCATACCCACACAATTCTCCACAACTGATTTTTTTCTGCTACACCCGGCTACGCTGCTTCGCTTCTTCTTGTTTACTACTGGTGGTTGGCTTTGGTCGCAGTACCGCCACCTTCTGCTCTGGAGTGTAATTGCTTCCCCTATGAGAAAAAGGAGCAGCGCATGAACCGAACGAAACACATGCGAACCGAACCAAGACAGTCAAACCGAGACAGTCGAACCGAACGGTTCGGACGGTTTTCATAAACCGTTCCATCCCTAATTTGTATTGTATAAAAACATTGATTTAAGTTTTTATACAGTACTTTTAATTTGAGAAAATACAAAAAATTTTAAAGGTATAGTGGAGGATGTTCTTTTTCTTTTTGCAGTTTATTCATTAAAACACACAAAAAAAGATGTTATAATTTATAATGTGTGACAGAAACATGTGAAAGAAACGGTAGTGCAGGTTGTGAAACTGTCACCAGTAGAAACAATAAAACATTAGAAAATATGTTCTATTTAGCAGTAATAGCAAAGGTTAATCAATCCAATATGACAGTTTAGGTTTGTCAATCTTACTTGGAAAAATTAGATAATATGTGCATGTGGGAGTCAGTAAAAGGAAAGAATTCACACATGTGTTGCAAGAGAAATTTTACACTTCATACTTTCGCTTTTGTTATCAGGTTGTAATCAGTTGTCCCATTCATACAGATCTAGCAGGAAGCTAGACTACTAGGAGTGGTTGTATCACGTAACGAATAGAAGGGGAGTCGTATGAAATTTAGTCGCCTATTACAGTTTCTTTTTTCATGGTTCATCCTAACTTGGGTAACAGCAAGTGAGCTCGACCTCCTTCAATTAAAAAACAAATCAATGTTTATAGTAAAATGGCTAATGTATTAGTTCAAAGCGTTGAAAACAAGAGAAATAAATAAAATCAAATGAGAACAGAAAATAAACAGTTCTAATAATTAAACAATCTCATACTTTAAGCATTAATGACACCAGCACCCTGCTTTTATGTTGTTTTTTTATTGCATTAATGCTGCTATTTTTTTCTGCCAATGTCGACCTTTAATAATGTGACAAAAGCTGTCTTCCAAAAGCTCTTTCTCACATGGAAGCATTTTCTGATTGCACAACGAGGCCCTACATGACACCCTCACTTTTCCATCTCATTAGTCTACACACCTTTCTTTCAACGCAGCTGCTGCCTCTCTCTGCCCGTCAGCAGCTACTGGCCATCATTTAGTGTAGATTTTTGGCCATTAGGTGCTTATCAGTGTCATTGTGCTGACAAACAGATTTATTTATTTTAAATGCTTTTAAAAAACCTAACACTCTGCCCCAGTATCTTTAACCAAAATTGGAATTGTGAGTTAGTGAATTTATTTTTACCAAAAGACTTCTAATTCCTTTTCCTTTTATCAAAATAGATACATGCATTTCCATAGTTAATCAAAAGTATATAAAGAGTATTGCTTATGAGAAAATTGTGTGTAACTTGTGCAAAAACATCAAATTATGTGGTGATTCTTTGCTACAAATTGCGTTTTTCTCTTTTTGACTAGCAACACATGGGTTCCTGCCTGACATTCAGGAAAAGGCATATTACACTGATACACAATAAAGCATCTGTGTTTGATTGTCAGCTGGGGTCATGCTGCACAACCACAGAGAGGAGGGTACAGCCACTTCTGTTGAGTGATATCCGTTTGCAGTGGAAGCCAGATGTGATCTACGATGACACGAAGTTAATGTACAAGGCACTGACTGCATGTTTTAGAGGAGCAGAGATTAAAAGCCTCCGTCTTTCTTTTTTGAAGAATCCTAAAACCAGTACTGACCTCTGGTCATACATCATGTCGCTGATGACAATCTTAGCATTCAATAATTTCACCTTTTAGGTGGTCATTTCCCACTTGCTTGTGTCTGTCACCTCTCAGTTTTTTATATATTTTTTTGTGTTTGTCATTTCAGGATTCCCTTCAAGATCGGACAACCAAAAAAGCAAATAGTCTCTAAAACTGTAAGTCACTAAAGCAACCATTCATTACATTTTATCTGTCATAACGTCAGTGTGGCATTTTTGTGTGTAGGAGGTTTTTAATTTTTACAAATGAAAAATTAAACTGCGAAAGCTATCATACTTAAGCCAAAGTCCTTTTTGTAAAACAATTTATAAGGGCTATTTCAGGGGGCAGAGGTGATTACCTTGAAGTGACAGTGAGTGGGTGATCGCCTTACTTGCAAAAACCACTTCCACTGTAATGGGTCTGGGTTTCTACCTTCCTGTGCCATCCTAGGCAAAAAAAAACATGGAGTGGGTTATATGCAATCCAGTCAGATTGTTCACTTGTGACAGTGTGAACTGTTTCCTGTATTGTTTCTGCCCCTGTGTTTAAATTCCAGAGCCCACAGAACTACCAGACAGGAAGCTTTTACAGTTCTGTAACTTGTTCAACATGTTTTAAGGTGATGATGGACAAACCATTCAGGGCCTAATTAAAACTGCTTTGCCGTCCTATATCAGTCAACTCATCCTCTGTTTGTTTTCGCCATTCTAGACCCCTGTGTGTCTCTGGTGATGTTGTGTTATTGCACACTTTAAAAGAATTGGAATTAGAGAGTAGTAGTGTTTTTAGAAAACTTGCTGAATTATGTGTTGACAGTAATTGTAAAAAGAAAAAAAAACTGAAAAGCATAAGACTTTTCAGGTAACATGAGTTTTTACATTTTATTTTCCAGTGGTGTTTTAATATATATGCAATTGAGGTTGTCACAATTTATACAAATATAAAATATCGTTCAACAAAAAAATCTAAAGGAGTTTATATATCTTTACTTCTATTCCAAATTAGACTTTTAGGACAAACAGAAAGCTGATTTTTAGCTCAGCCTCTACAGCTGAGCTGTTGATGAACAGTGGAGTGTGGTTAGGCCTGTTCTTCCTGGAGTCAACGATGATCTCCTTCATCTTCTCCACATTCAGGATCAGGCTCTTGTCTCTACATCATCCCAACCAGCTGCTCCACCTCCTCTCTGTAGTACTGGTCATTGTTGTTTTTGATGAGGCCCACCATGTGGTGTCGCTTGCAAACTTTCACGATGTGATTGGTGGTCTATTGATCTCTCCCTTCATTCTCCCCACACTCGCGAAAAGAACCCTAAAATACTTGAAGTCTTCCACTCGAGGCAGGAACTCTCATTGGACCTGAAGGGTACAAACCACCTTTTTCCAGTTTAGAACCATGGCCTCACACTTGGAGAAGTTGATCATCCTGGCTGCTTTCTTTAACGACTGCGAACCGTCCCAGTGCATGCTGTAGATGTTAGCAGGAGGGAGCCAGCAGAACCATGTCACCCGCAAAAAACAGGGAGAAAATCCGCTGGGCCCTTAACCAGACTCCCTCCTGCCCTTGGTTGTGCCTAAAAATACAAGGTTATGAACAGGACAGGTAACAGAAGGCAGCCCTGCTGGAGTCCAACATGAACCAGAAACAGGTCTGACTTAATTGGGGCAATGTGGACAAAATTCCGGCTCCGCTGGAACAGAGAGCATGGTCCCAAGTAAAGGGCCCCTGACTCTACACTCCTGCCACACAGGGCACCGCGAGGGACACGGTTGAATGCTTTCTCCAGGGCCACATAACACATCCAGACTGGTTGGACAAACTCCCATGAACCCCCAAGCACCCTGCAGAGGGTGTACAGCTGCATAAGTGTTTTAATAACAAATGCAAATATATTTTTCTATCTCAATGAATTAAACAGACAAATCCCAAATGATAAGTAGGAGTAAAAACAAGACATTTAAAATGCTTCTGTCTGGATGAATACATTTATATTAAAGGGTTTAATATAAGCAAACTTTACTTTATCCTGTTTTTCTTTTCAGTATCATCAAATTTAACTTTCTGAATAGAATCTCTAGAATTTTCCGTTTAAAGTACTTTAAATGTACTTCATCAGATTTTTTTTATGTTGGAAGTGGCTCCGCGTACACATTTCATATTTTAAAGTATATATTTACATTCCATTTTCTTGCATGTTGGGTGGCAGCTATGAGTTGTTTTTGAAAATATCTCATAGATCAATTATTTTTCCAATGAATCTAAAAGGGATATTCTTATTAAGTTAGCATATCTTTATGAATGACTGTTTTCTTTATGTATTATAAATGGTTTAGTTCAATGCTCTGTTTTTTTGGTAGAAGTAGAAGAAGTTGTCATAAATGCAATTTGAGCTTAAATTACTGCCCTTTGGTTCTTTTTAGCAAAAGGTATGTTTTAAAGTCTATATCGGCTTGGGCAATATAATATCTTTTTTCCTACCAAACATGATTTTTTTTTTTTTTTTTAAGTTCAATCATCCCCTCTGGGAAATAAACTTAATTTAAAGGGAAACAAAATTCAATCTGTGAAACAAGCTGTTAAAATGTTTCACAAAAAACTATAAAAATATTAAAAACTAAATGTTTGCAGCTAGTATCACACAGTAAGCTAGTTTAGCAATCTTAGTACACACAAAAATACAAAAAAAAAATAAAAATACAAAAAGTACAAACAAAACATGATAAACTGATGTTACTCCAAAGCCCAAGGAGTGAATTGGTGAAAAACAATATACATTTTTCTAAAGTTTAAATATTCATTAACAAAAATATGATTAATCAATAACATGAAAGAATCACCCAGCCCACTTCTATACTCTCCAAATATAAGGTAATTCGGTTACTACATTAGTTAATGATATTTTAATAAACACTTAATCACAATTAAGTGGGATTAATTGCCCTGGTTGTATTCAGTAAAAGCAACAGTTCATTGTAAAAAGTAAACAGACTAAAATAAATTTACGTTTGATTGTTCATAAGACAAATAGATTGTTAATATGGGATCAGGTTTTTGTTGGACCCTGTGCTTTTTTGTTTTAATGCACCATTTTAACTTTAGCTAAAGAGCAGAAAAAACAAACAATGCTGACAGTTAAATGTCTCACTGCTGTGTGTTCAGAGCATCAGCTTTGTGACAGTTTTACTGTTACAGTGGTTTGTTGTCTTCAGGTTCTAACATATTACATGTAGAAAGGAGTTTAGCTCACGAAAAACGTTGATTAATAAGTCGAATCTAATAACATTACAGAAACTCCTCGTTTTTGTTTTCTACATATTTTATCTTGGTATTACAAAGTAACATGTTAAGATTAAAACATCTTTTTCATTTCGAGCTGACTTTATTTTTCTTTCTTTTATAGGTTGAAAGAGACTTTGAACGTGAATATGAAAAGCTCCAAAAGTAAGTTTTCTGTTAAACAATCACTGTTAATAGAGAACATTACATGAAGCATGTTTGGCTTGTGTCATTTTAGTTAAAGTTTATCTCTGCTCTAAAATATGTTGATTGTATAAATCAAAAGTAAAGATTGTTTGTGCCATGGATATGGAGAAAGATGATTTCTCACTCAACTAATTTTGAGAATAATTTCCTAAAAATAAGTTTTATTCTTTCATAAAAAAAAATGAAATATTAGCAGTTGCTATTTCAGTGTCTCTGTGAAACAAAGGAAGCCGAGATCATAACTCTTAAAATCTGAAGATCACAGCATGTAGAAACTCCCTGAGGGCTCAGAAAAATGAGTGGGAGAACTGTTTTCCACTCAGGTTTCAATGAGTAGGAGGGCCCTTTATCAGGAAGGTGTGGTACCAATAAACCTTATAGGTGATTCATGGCAGCGGGCATGTGCAGACATTTAGTTTCCCACCCTAGAGCTGCATATCAACACATCGTGGGGGAATCCATGACGTTACACTGGCGTTACGTGCAATCTGCATTTCCTAATTTTGGATAAGAATTCTCACGTTGTGCAGCTTTTGTAAAGTCATTCAACATATGACAAAACTAAAAAAAGCTCATATTGTAGTTTGATGTGACAAGTCTTCTTTCAATCTCTTCCAGTCATTAAAGCCACACTTATAGACACATATAAAATAAAATAGATAAACATTTATATAACACTGCAGCCAATGCTTTGAGCCATTAAGTTTAAGCTTGATTTTCTACCTTTGACTTCATCTTTTACATGCATTTTATTAGAGTTTGTGTGTACAGTCTGATGTAGGGAACTTTTTTAGCCTATGAAATTTTTATTTTTGAATAGATTACAGTAATTACACAGAATAAGGTTGCAGCTTATCTAAGGAGGAGTTCCTGTTAATGGGCCTTTAGGACCTATTCATGCTGCTAGTCTAGTTCTGGTATTGGTTAGTCTAATAAATTTCACACCTTCAGTTGGCACTGTTTGCTATCAGACCAGCACTAACAATGTCATGCAGTTGGAACGGATTAGTCCAGTGTTGAATCTCATCTCATTGACCATTCAGGACCAGTAGCAATAATCTATCCCCTTCCAAATTCCTACTGACATAGAATAAATCCCAATCTCTTGGTCAGTTATTTGAGTTTGTAAAGGATTTATTTAGATCTAGTTTTAGCAATAAAACTTATTAATTAATGTTTTTTTCTGATCAGCAATGTGATTATTTTCTTTCTTGAGCAGAGCAATAAGTAGAAGTATCTGACTCTTTTCTAAGCTTTATATATAGTAACATTTTTAGCATACATTGGCTTAGGTCTGCAGTGTATATTTTAGTATTGTTTTATGATACAATCCAATTCAGCTTATTTATATAATACCAATTTAAAAAACATGTAATCTAAAGGAACTCTATGGGGACAAGTCAAATTAAAACATACAAACAGATTGCTTAAAAGTTTTCAGTCAAAAGAAACCCAGTTTATTAAAACCAGTAGTTGACTTGCAGGACTAGCTCTTCCTGGATGAGTAGTTAGTAGATAGTTGCTAGCATTTTTGTCGTTGCTCTCATAACAAGCATACATGCAGCAACCACAAAGAAAAAAAAAGTCCAGCAGAACCAGGCGTGGTATGAGCTGCCTTCTTCCTAGGCTGACCAGGGGTTCAAGGAGAGAGAAGCAGACCCATAAAAATACTGATCCATAAATACCTTCTATGTTGAAAAATGTAACTGTAAACTAGCTTCATATGTGGCTCTGTCTACAAAAGAAACAGTTAAGCAGACAAGCTCTTGACAGTTTTTATGTCAGAGTAATATAAGAGAGCACATACAGTGAGTCACAATAAAAGCTTGGCCAGTAGCTATGTCTAGGATAGACACAAATCTCAGCACTGAAAAAGAGACCCAACTATCATCTAAAATGGAAGATGTTTATGACATTAGCCCAGTTGACCTATCAATATAATTCTTAGTAAGTGAATATGAATAGATTAAGTGCTAAATATTGAAATTTTCTTTGCTATCAGTTTACAGTATCTGATTTTTCTAGTCTTCCAAAGTCGGGTTTTCTAGTAGAACAGTTATTGCATTCTTCATTTTTATTATATAGTCTTTAAAAAGATAGAAGTACTGATGGAAGTGAGCCCCTATACAATTACATGTTTTAACAAATCAAGTGAAGTGATATGATGGCTGTCTCTTGGGAGTTTCTAACCCCCCCTTTTTACCTTAATTGATATAATGAATGGCATGTGTTTTCATCCTCACTAGTCAGGTAATTGCTTTTTTTTTCTTTTTTCTTTTTTTACAGCATCAGTATAATACATCGAGTGGAATGATTGAAGATGTTAATATTTTTTTGCAGAAATATAGTATACACCGCTAAAAAGATTTCCTCTGCTGTTAATTAGCCAACGTATTTTATGTGGAGGCAATGAAATGTTAAATTTTTTTCTTCTTAAAACTATATTTTGTTTTAAATTAGTTTCATTTTCTTTCAACTCGCTTTTCCATTTCAGTCCTGATTTATGAGTGCAGAAGATATAAAAAATAGTTGTTTTTTTTTTTGTTTTTTTTTACATTTATTGATTCTTTTTATTTTTTATGCACTTTTCTAGATCTATTTTTCAGTGCTGTTGATTAGTTTTTGATAACTGCTGTTTTTTTTATCCAACAGGCTTGAGGACCAGACTAAGAAGCTTCACAAAGACATGAAGAAGAGCACAGAAGCTGATTTAGGTGTGTTCTGCTAAAAACCTTGTCTTATCACTAGATTTTATGTGCAGGTCTACTTGTTCACCAGCTTGCTTGATGTTGTTTAGCAGGTTTCACCAGGTTCATAAGATTCAAGTCACTTTTTTTTTTTTTTTTTTGGTGATGTGTTAACGAAAAAAAGCCTTACTCTAAATGATCCTTTTCATACTTTCCTAGAGTCCTTTATCTCATTGTATCTCATCTTCCTCTCTGTGCACCGCTCACTTACAGCTTGATTTGTATATTGTCTTTCCAATCATTTGTTTTTGCACTTGTCAGCAACAGAAACCATGTTTGCTCTAGATGTATTTGCTTTATATTGTTGGTTTTGGATTTGTGTGTTTGTGAAGTAGCGGTAGAAATGGCCTGTGGTAAGAAGTCGGTTGTGGGGGCGGAGGAGCGGGAACGGATGGAGAAGCAAGAACCTCCTTCATTTCCTCTCCTTTGTGCTCTGGAATATGGATGTTTGCATCATCAAAGTGTCATAGCTGTCAGGGCCTCATTATTCTTAATGGATTCCATGTGTTACTCGGGTCCCATCTCTTCCAACTGTTAACCCAACAAAGGACTGGACCTACCCTAAATGTCAGAACTGTAATAAACGGTTTCTAGTAGTGTTAGCTATTATTTCTCTAGTAAAAGTTTGTACTATTCTGAGCTTTGTTCACACATACTTTGTTCACATCTGGGTTTGCGGCAGTAACACTTTTAAAGGATTAGTAAATTTGTAAATACAAATTGAGTTTCAGAAGTCCTCATACCTCTTTGACATTTTCCTGTTTACAACTGTAACCTTCAATGGTTGTTCTTGTGATTTGTTTGTGGTAGACCAACACAAAGTAGTGCATAATTATGAAGTGGAAGAAGATTTGAGCCTGGTTTTATAAAATCAGCATGGCATATATAGCCTTCTGCTTTTTAACCTGTTTTCTTCCAGGTTTTCACTCAGTTGCTGTTGCATATATAATGTGGTCTAGTTTTGGTTTTACCACAGACACATCATTTTATATCACAAAAGCTTGATTTTGTCTCATCTTGTCCAGAGTCTGCTGTTCATTGCCATGGGACTTACCTGTTTCATGGAATAGAGTTTACTTCTAGCTGGCATGCATATATTGTAATTGCGACCAATTATCCTGTCCTATTTAGAACCAAATCCTCCTTCTCCACAAAATAATCCCTGTTCGGTCTGCTGTGCTCTTTGGTCTGATGATGAGTTTTGTTCGATCATGTTCTCTAGCAAAAATCTGAGACCTACGCAGAACAGATTGACTAATACTAAGATTGGATTACAGATCGGTGGATGGTGATTGCTAACCAAAGTACCTCTTTTTTTTGGTTGCAGTTAGTTTTATTAAGGAGGATTAGAGTAACACTAGCTGAATAAACATGTATGCTACAGATTTTTCATGAAGAAATTTCAGTTTTTCTTAGTTTTGTCATCAAAACATTCAATCAAAATGCATTATGATTTAATGTTGTAACCCTAGAACATGATATGGTTGTAGATATTTGTAAATAAATATAAATATCCAGTGTTTTGCTTGTTTCGGTGCCTCTTTACTCAGTCTTCCGCTGACAGACTCAAACTCTGCTGACCTTTTTCTGCAACCGGTATTTCTCGTCGCACTCAGCACTCTCTGTGAACTTGGACTGCCATTGCCAAATTCAGCTTGCGGTGGTTGTGTCTGTTTCTGCTCCTGGAGCAAGTGACTCAGTAGAGAGACGGGTAAATAAACATGGAGGAATGCCAAAATAGTGACCTGGCCACCCAGCTAGACAAAATAACAGGGCAGGGACAGCTAGTTAGCCGTGACTAGGTTTTGACAGTATTATGTTTAGATATAGCTCTTTGTCTTATACGTTTTTTTTTTATTATTATTCTAACATTTATTTTGCAAAGAAAATTAATTAATTAATTGGCTCAAGTTGTCCTCAGGTCAGCTCTTTTGATTTTACCATTTTGTAAATTGGCTCATAATAGCCAAGTGGGTTTTTTTTTTTTTTGGTGATCGGTTGGTAAATTGTACAGAACAAGAAAAACGTGTTAGAAGAAGAATCCCAGTTTGGTAGCAAAGACCATTAGTTGTCCTATGTTTGAAGTACGCAAAGTTCTGTGCAGGTCTTCCTTTCAGCTAGTTACGCCTCTGCATTGCAAGTTTGTTGTGACAGTGGGCGCTCGCTACCAAACCAGTTTTGGCACTAAAACTGGCTTTAGCAATACTTTGTAATTTCACTTTTGCTAGGACCATCCCTAACACAGAAGAAACGGTAATATTTTAGCAATGCAATAACGTTTTAGCCAGAGGGAAGAATCACAGAGGCTGACAAGTAATAAAACTGTTGGAGGTGTCATGTTTACCTCCTCAGTTTATGGTTAAACCATTTCATTTTGAGTAAATAAAAAAATAAAAATATAGAAAAAAAACACAAAGGTGTCTAAAGCTTTTCTGTAATAGGAGTTACCAGTGGATAACTTCCTTTTCCAATAAATCGAACTGAGAAATTTTATTCTGACTTCTTAAACAGTACGTCTTTAAATGAAGAATTTCTGGTTAAAATGTTTCAAACATAGATGAAAAAGCAGCCATAAACACTGTATGTTCTGTAAATCAGCAGCAATCATTAATAATTGTGTTGGTGAAGGTTCCCAGTCATCCAGGTCATAGTCATTCCAAAAAAAAGAAAATTAAAAACAATCCAAGTTTGAAGATGTTTCGTTTCCCATCAAAGAAGCTTTTTCAATTCAAAATGTCAGGAAACTCAAAACTCAACGCTATTCTTGATATTTTCAATTGAAAAAGCTTCTTGGATGGGAAGCTAAACGTCTTCAAACGTGGAAACATAGTCCAGTGGATTGTTTTTAATTTTCTTTTTTTTTTTTGGGGAGTTAAAAATTGGGAAATCAGAGTTATTCGAAGCAGAGAAATTTAGTCTGACTTCAGAAACGGTACTGGTCTTTTAATGTAAACAGAAAGGATGAACAATTTCTGGTTAGAATGTGTCAAACAGAGGTGAAAAAGAAGCCATAAACACTGCATGTTCTGTAAATCAGCAGCAATCATTAAAAATTGTGAAATCAGAGTAGTTGTATGATATCGGATTTATTCTGTAAACTGTCCCCTCACTCTTAGATTTCTTCAAAAATTTAAAATATAACAGTGGGAGGATCAAACCTTTAGTCTAAGAGACTTTTCCAGCGATGCTGTAATCTGGCTCCATGCTGGTTTGTTTGGCTTTGGAAAATCAAACAGGTTTATATAACCACTAAAGAACTGGCTAACCAGCTCTGGTTTAGCACCAGAGCCTCTTTGGTAGGAAAAAAAACCAACCTTAAAATAAGCGCTAATCTGAAATGTGCTCTGTGTCTGAACAAAGTGCCATGTGTGCAGATTAACCATAGACATTGCATGAAGAAACATGGCAGAGATTCCTGGTGTACTGGTGAAAATTCAAAAAGCCAAGCATCCCTGCCAACCTCTCTGAATTTTACAATGGGGTACAGCATTGTTGCCATCTTTCTTCTGCTTTCTCTGAAGCCTTTAGATAGCCTCCCACATAAGGGATTCATGCACAGAAAAATGCTGAAAGCCTTTTTTACACCCCTATTTGACGATGTTTTAACAGTGTTCCCTGTCTTGTGTGTGTGTGTCTGTCAGCCATGTCTAAAGCAGCAGTGAAGATCTCCGCAGATCTGCTGAGCAACCCTCTGTGTGAGCAGGACCAGGCCTTCCTGGAGTCCATGAATGAGTTGGACAAGGCCATGAAAAGGATGGATGCGTTCAACCAGGAAAAGGTCAGATTCAGTATTACACTTAATAATGCTTTTGCTGCAGTCTCGGAAATCACTATTGAAATAACGGTTATTAGGTGTTGTGTTTTTGTTAGATATAATTAAGAGAAAACCATACATTCCTGTTAAATTTTATTGGTTTTGCCTGGTGGTGGCATTGTGCTCTAAAAACTCTAGTTTCAATCTATCTGCTGTGAAACTGGTGTGTTTGTGACCTACTTGAGGGGCCTCATCTTGAGAAAAACTCTGCCTGAAAACTCACAGGACTTATTTTCTTCTAGGGAATATTTTTATTGCATTTCTGACTGAAAAAAGATGTAGTGCAAACAATTTGAAAATCTTCCATACATTTTGTTACGCCGTAACTAAACATTTCGGTATTAGAACTAATTTCGGTTCCCGTTTTAGGGGTGAACTTTAACAACAGTAGCAAGTTTTGTTAGCTTTTCCTGAAGAAAAAGAGGGATTTTTTTTTTTTTTTTTTTTTTTTTTTTGTTTTTTTAATACAGCTGTAGAAAATCTATTTTTATTTGGAAATGTAAGGTTATTTACTTTCTGGGGCCAGGACATTTATTTCAAGAAGCTTACTTTAAAGGATGGAACCAGATCAGTCAACCCATGCACACTAACTCAATGGATGGACGATCTGTCAGGATTACCTCTGGTTGAGGGGCGTGGCATCTACATGTGGCTAACTGGAAAACAGGAAGATTTGAAGTTCTACATCCCCTCGTTTTATTGGTTTAACCAGAGCTACTGTACTTTTTTATTTGGCAGTGACAGAAGATATGGGATATAACTTTTAATTGTACTCTCACAATTCTAGCTAAAGTAAAAGTGACGTAGACCGATAAAAAGCTCTATACTATTCACGTTTTTTGGGACACAAGCTTTTACTTATGTATTTCCCTGTAAACAATTATATTTGCTGAAAATACATATTTCAATTTGTAATGAATCAAATCTTGTTGGGTTTTTTTCCAGTAATTTACACAATTATTTAAGCTTTGTGCTTAAGACAATAATTGTATGGGCTGTAGCTAATGATTATTTTGCAAATGGATTATTCTGGCGAGTATTTTTTTCGATTAATCTTTTGATATTCGGATAGCCAAAGCTTAGACTTTTTACAAATTTAAAACAGGCGAAACCAAAATGTTTCCACTTCTGGGTAGAACATAGTGATGTACGAAAAAGCCTTTTTTTTTAATTCTTAATTGCAAATTTTTTTTTTTTTTTTTCTCTCACAATTTTGGTATGATTACTGCTCTAAGTGGGTCGCTCTGTCAGCTAAAGACACTTTTTTGTCTCTATTCTCCAGTTAACAATTATTTGATTGCTAAATTAGTTGAGAATTATTTCACTAATCGTTTAATCCGATTAATTGTTTAAGCCCTAAATTGTTTATTTCTGTGTATATAACTTTTGCAAATCTGAAAATGAAAAATTGTTGCACGTTTTCTATAAGTTTCCTTTGGTTACTCAGAGGCACATAGCTAGCTTGAAAACTTTCTGCCATATACCCTTGGCTGTCCTTCCACAGTGTTATTTCCACTGACCCCTTCTGTATATTTGCCTGGTGTTTTCCAGTTTGTGATTACAATCATTGCCATGGGTAGTTCTAATGTGAATCATTGCAGCAGTACATGTGTGCATCCTTAAGGCACTTCCCTTCCCAACAGAAAACAATACAGGGAGATCAGGGAAAGACATACCTGGATTACTTTTTGTTTAAAGCTTTGTTTCTTGACTCATTGCTCAGCCAGAAGGTCTTTGAGGCTTTTCACATTTATCTTAAAACATTTCCTTTTGTTTCCATATTTTACTGTCAGCCAGAATGAGCTCACACTGCAATAGTAAACGGCAGGGATAGAAGGAGGTGATGGATCATTTAATTCCTGCTAAAAAACATCACATCATATTGAAAGACACCCAAATATTATCTGGCATAGTAAACACAGTGCTGGACAAAAGTATTGGCACCCCTGCATTTATGTCAGATAATACTCAGTTTCTCCCGGAAAGCAATTGCAATTACAAATGCTTTGGTATTAATAAGTTCATTTATTTTTCTTAAAAGAAAAACCCACAAACAATTTAAAATAATTTCACACCAAACATAAAAAAAGAGGCAGACAACAGTATTGGCACCCTTTGAAAAATCATGTGATGCTTCTCTAATGTGTGTAATTAACAGTACCTGTTGCGTACCTGTGGCACATAACGGGAGGTAGCAATAACTAACTCACACTTGCAGCCAATTGAAATGGATTAAAGTTGACTCAACCTCAGTCCTGGATTCTTGTGTGAGCCACACTGAGCAGTGAGGAAAAAAAGGAGAACAAAGAACTGTCCCATGACTGGAGAAGCAAAATTGTTAGGAAGAATTGGCAATCTCAAGTCTAAAAGTCCATCTTCAAAGGCTAATGTTCCTGTGTCTTCCGTGCGCAGTGTTAACAAAAAGCTTAAAGCCCATGGCACTGTGGCGAACCTCCCTAGATGTGGATGGAAGAGAAAAATGGATGAGAGATTTCAGCAACAGATTGTCCGGATGGTGAATAAAGGACCTCAACTAACATCTAAACAGGTTCAAGCTGTCCTGCAGTCTGAGGGTACAACAGAGTCACCCGTACTATCTCGAATTAATAGTGACTCTATGGTAGGATGCCCAGGAGAACCCCACTTCTGACCCATAGACATAAAAAAAAAGCCAGGATGGAGTTTGCCAAAACTTTCCCGATGTTTTCTGATCAGATAAGACAGTAGTAGAGCTTTTTTGGGAAAAGGTATCAACCTAGAGTTAAAAGGAAAAAATAAATAAATAAGGCCTTTAAAGAAAAGAACATGTTCCTTTGCGTGAAACATGGCAGAGGTTCCCTGAAGTTTTGGGGTTGCTTTGCTGCCTCTGGCCCTGGACTGTATGACTGTTCATGGCAGTTGGAGGTCTGAAGACTACCAACAAATTTTGCAGAGCTATGTAGGGCCCAGCGTGAGAAATCTGGCTCTTTCTCAGAGATCATGGGTCTGCCAGCAAGACAATGACCCAAAACAAACTTCACAAAGCTCTAGAACGGTTTGAGAGAAAGCACTGGAGACTTCTGAAGTGGCCATCAATGAATCCAGATCTGAATCCCATAGAACACCTGTTGAGAAGGTACCCTTTAAATCTCAGGTACCTCGAGCAGTTTGCCAAAGAAGAATGGTCTAACTTTCCAGCAAAGCCTTGTAAGAAACTGAATGTTGGTTCCCGGAAGCGGATGTTCAGTCATTTTGTTTAAAGGTTGTGCTATAAAGTATTAGGCTGAGGGTGCCAATATTTTTGTCTGGCTCATTTTTGGAGTTCTGTGCAAAATTAATTTTTTTTTCATTCGTTTTTGGGTTTTTTCATTGCAAGATATTTATACCAAACCATTATTAATTGCAAGATTTTCCGGGAGAAATTGAGCATTATCTGACAAAAGTACAGGGGTGCCAATGCTTTTGGCTAGCAGTGTAAATGCTTTTTGACTGAATGTTTTCAGAGACATTTTTAACTTTAGCTATATTCATAGCCATTTAGAATTGATCAAAAGTATCAGGTAAATTATTTTAATTTCTGGCATTAAAATGTCAACATCAGACTCTCTTATAACATTTAAACAAAAAATAATTATACAAATACCTGCTGCACAGCAAAGTTTGGAAACAACTAAGTTTAAAAAAGGAATACCTAACTGAAACAATAAAACCACTTAAGGAATGATAAAATCAGTATAAGAGTGACACTGATTCATAAAACTCAATAAAATACAGTAGTTAGGATAACAGAAGGTAGAACATAAAGATAAGAAATAATACATCGGAATTCAAATGTGAAAGCCAGAATATCAGAAAGTCTTTGAAAACAGAAACTGCTAAAGCTCCATCAGCTCAGTTTCCAACATAAAACATATGAAAGCATCTTCATTCTTGAGCTAACAGATCCAAAGAGATTCAGTTTGTGCTAAGTTACCAAACATTATGAAATGCTGAAAGCAGTTGTGCAACAGATTGGAAGCCAGATGAGTGATGCGTAAGGTTCTCGTATTATTTGTTGAAATGCTTTTGTTATCTATTAGCAGCCTCATTGTTATTCGCTGACAAACTCATACAGAACTTATTTATATATAATAAAGTATATTATTCAAGGTATATTATTATTCAATAATACCTAGGTTAAACCAGATCATAAATCTAAGGCTATGTTCACACTGCTAGCCTTAATGCTCAATTCCGATTTTTTTGTGAAATCTGATTTTGTTGTGTTGCTGTTCACATTTCCAAATATATGCGACTTGTATGTGCTCTCCTGTGTGAAGTGAACTCATACAGATTAAGTGTCCCGCATGCGCAGTAGAGGATGTAATGACGACACAAGCAAGAGTGCTCTGTGTTTACAGAAGTAAACATGGATGGTAGTGCTGCAGCGCATGTAGCGACCTTTCCCAACCTTAAAAACTCCATCTTTTCAAGATGGTTTTAAAAAAAAAGACTGCTCTCCGCATTATCACCCGCCATGGTTGTTGTTTTCCATCCCGCTTCTGCGTAGCAAGACGCAGAATAGGGACCATGACCTGGCCGTTCAGAAGCAGGTCACTTTTGAAAAGGTCAGATTCGTATCAGATTCAGGAATGAATCACATCTGTGTTGTTCAGATTGTCATGAAAAGATCAGATACAGGTGGCATATGGGCAAAAAATCTGATTTGGGTCTCTTCAGGCTGCTGTGTGTACGTAGCTTAAACAGCAATTTTAAAACTGTTCTTTCAAAAAAACTCCAAGTAACCTTTGAACCTTCATAAAATATTTTCATAACTTTTGTGATTATACATCGCCTTACAACTAGTTGAATGACACCTCTTTCATGGACTTTCAGGATTTTACTGCGCTATGGTCTTTCCCATGACGGTCCTTAATAGAAATGTTGTGTTACTTCAGGAAAAACAATACAGCTTTTGTCCACTGGGGGGAGAACAAAATTGTCCAAAACTGAAAGTTCTTTAGTACTGCTTTAAATGTTTTGAAATCAGAATGAAACCTGCATAAACCCTGGAATTGCATCACATAGCATGTTGAGTAATGTTATATAACCTTAGTTTGACTTTAGTTCTACAGCAAAAACAGGTTGTGTTGTATCATTGCAAATGTAAAATATGTGGAAAGGAAGTGTGGACACGTGAGTGGCTCATGAGACTGTCCCCTCTTTATACCGCTGCAACTTTACTAAACCAGTATTTCACAAAGCTTATACTTCAAATTTTACTGGCGCCATTTTGAGTGAGTAGATGAAGTAAGATTTAGTTTGGAATGATGGTGGTTTGGTATGCAGATGGGAGCTCCGAAGAACTCCTGTGACCGTTTATAAAAACTTGCTTTATAGTTGTAGTAGTGTCAGTTTTTTATTTATTTTTTATTTGTAACATAAATATGAAAACACAGGCAAAAAAAGTATCTTATTTTTTTTGTTCTATCTTAACACACATTTGAAAGCATGTTCAGTATTAATTAGTTATTTTGTCAATATAGTTGTATTATTGTCACCGCTGCTTTTTGAGTCTAAACAAGTGAAAATCCATAGCGTATATCAGGGTTCTGTTCCAGATTTGGACCTGAGCTGCTTGTCTACTCTTTTGCATAGCGGCTGGAACTGAGCTAAAGGCAAAATGGCAATTGTGAGAACTTTCTTGGGCAGCCAGAGTGTGCAACACCTCTAGGTTTGCAAGGTGTTTCTAATCCAGCGCAGCTCTCTAGAACACCACTCTGACTTCTCCCTTCAAGCTGGCGGTGGATTCTGACGGCACAAACAGCAAACCTTGTTGCTCAAGCAAAACAGACACAAAAGCATCCACCCTTTGCTCCTCTCCGCGTTGAGACGAGATGTTCTGCCGCAGGGCCCGCGAGTGAGAAAGCCAGCAGATAAAACGTGCAGCGATAATGAAGGCAGCAGTGGCCCAGGTCTGTGTGTTTATTTCTGGGGCTGAGAAGGGCGCTCAGCCCCGGCGGCGCACTGCTACCGAAGCCGAGCCCCAGCGTAGATGGCGGCAGCGCAGTGGAGGATGCTCCGTTTGGAGGGATATTGATTTCCTCAGCGATCTGTGTGTATTTTTGGGAGGCCTGTGTGCCGGGATGGCCTCTGCCCCGTGACTCACTGATGGAGACTGCTGCTTGAGCATCAGGCCTCAGGCTTTGTGGGGTCTCCGAGGAATTGCTCCCCCCCTCACTGTGGGAAGGGGCAGAGGGTAGAGGGCATCAGCATGCTTAAGCAAATCTGCTGTTATTCTCTCTCCTCACCGCATGTTCTCACCTTAGAAGCAGCATCGTAGCTCCAGCCGAGGAGGAGAGGGAGGGAGGGGTGTTGATGTGAATATGTAAAACAAAGAAAATGTGAATTCCCATGTACTTATTTGTTATTGGCTCTCTGTTTTCCCCCAAACCACTATCATCCATTTTGTAGTTGAATTTGTCTGTGTGAAGCATTGAGTGTTATGTTTTCTCAGAGATGGTCAGGGCACATATACAAAGCACAGCTCTGAGCTTCTTTCCTCGCTGCTCTTTGATTGACTGTCCTTCCAATGGAAAGCGAACATATGATTACTGCTGCAGCTCATTGTTCTCATGCAGCTGTCATTTCACATACCTCCCTTTAAATCCCTCTTTAGACTTACCAGCATGCTCGTCACTTGAGCCGACTGCCTCGCTGGCACCGCTCCAGGACACTGGCTTTTCTCGCTAGTCAGTTTATATCTGCAATTTAAATGATGCTAAAACTTCATTAATTGTGCTCCAACTTCTGTTGATGAGACTTCAGCTTGGAGGCCCTATAATGTGATGTTCGTTTACTTCCATTTAACACCCCCCAACCCCCCCTCCTACCCTCCCGCTGTTGATTTTGACAACCAGAAGGAGAAAGCTTGAAAATATAAACTGTTATTGTTAAAATGTTTGTTTGTTAAGAACTTTCATCTTGTAAGGCAGCCCACCCTGCACAGGATTTCAAGTCAGTTGGGCTTTGCTTTCATGTCCGTCCCCTGACAGATCCATCCTTTTGTATCGCAGACTCAATGAATATTCAGGGATTTCTCCTCGGGGTTTGCGTACAATAAAGGAGTCGACGTCATGAAAGTTTCTTTTCCGTCCCTCCTCCCATTTTTTTCCCTTTTTTTGTGCTCATGGTGAGCTTTACACAATTATTACTGTTTATTTTGCGCTGTTACTTTGCACCTAATTAGGAATTGATGTTGAAGCTGTTAAGGTCTGAATTTATTTCAGGGTTTTTATTAAATCAGGGAAGTATTTTTCTTTCTAGTATTAATTCATTCATGCATCTGATTGTCCATCCATCAATCCATCCATCTATCAAACTTTTGTAAGGGCTCCTATAAAATGCACTAAAAGGGAGTCAGAAGTTTTGATATAAACTTCATAAGAAACCCACCTCTATTGTTAAAAAAGTTGACAATAAATAACTTTTAAAAAAAATTTTGCCATAATGTTTATAGGTTATGTTAACGATGTTCTTTTTGATTACAGGTTAACCAGATTCAGAAGACCGTCATAGACCCTCTAAAAAAGTAAGGGTTTATTTTCATTTCCTATTAGCTAAATGATATAAGCTGAGTTTTCAAACAGAAGAGTATTACTTAAGTTTAGTGGTTCAATAAAAAGTTAGTTTTAAAATGTGCCATTTAAAAAAAAAAAGGTTTTAGCAAAGTGTTTTTTGGGATGTCAGGTTTCATTTTGCGGCTTTGTTTTCCTGTAGGTTACAAGCTTATTTACCGTTCTGGTTCATTTAAGTCAAGCTCCATAAACATTTTCATTGTGTGATCTGGCTTCATTATTCCAGGACAGAAAGTAAAGCTGTTATAAGGTTGCATAGGAAGCTTTTCAGTCTAAGAAAACAGATTGTAAAAATGAACTGGGGAATGAGCAGAGCTCCTGTGGTTAGTAAGTGTCTGGAGGAAAGTTTATTTCCTAATATTCGCCCCCATTTGAGATGCTGTGAGTACTATTCCATTTCTTAAACCTCCCTCTTCTTATTTTTACACATGTGCACGCACACACATGCACACAAGAATGCAATGAAAAGTTACTGAAAGGAGCGGCTGGGCTATCCCACCCAACTTCCGGACTGCTAGTTAAGGCATTGCTTCCTGCTGTTAGCTCCTCCCCTAATATTACACATGTGCTAAGAGGACATAAGCAAAATTTTACAGTAATTTTCTGTTGACCTTTTTCCCCCATAAAGCTGTCATTTCAGAAAGCAACCCACCTATGTGAAGTGAACGTGCTGTGAAAACATGACCTGGTTAGGTCAGTGTCAGTGTGCGTTTATCCCTCCCTGCCTTATGTGCTCCGGTGGCGGAGCAGCGACAGGATGGAATGGTTCTAATTTCCTCTTCCTGGTGGGCGGCAGGCGGACGTGTGGGTAGGCTCAGAATATGGCACAGGCCCAGCTTCCTGGGCCCAGAGCCGTGGATTGGTTGATGAGGAGAACTGTCTCAGGACAGCACACGCTCTCACACAAGCACGCAGACAGCAGCCCAGATTTCAGAGGGAGGGGTGCTGAGCAACTTGTGCTTTAACGCCACTCTAAAATAGAGCAGTGAGAGAAAGCTTTAATTTCAGTGCCAAACTGAGCTGACCTCCCCGTTTTAATTTTTACCCTCCCTTACAGACAGCATTTCTAGTCATTAATTTATAATGGTCTTATCCATAGAAAAGCTGAGTCTCAAACCCTGCTGTGCGTTAGAGCTTCCATTAGGATTCCATTAGTGCTTCATTAATTTTTTGTTTACTTGTCTCTGAATATTTGTGCTTGTGATCTTGTGGCATTCTGAATACAATTGGCAAAAATTTGAAAAGAAGATTGTAATATTAATGGAAGACTCTCTTGATAATGTGTGTCTGTGTACATTGTGCTTCTCTCACTGCTATTTAGGCTTCTGGCCTCCCTCCTTTATCCTTTAGTCTGGTGAAGAGCACTGAAAACAAACTGAAAAACAGCCCTCCTCCACCCTCCGCGTCTTGTTTCTTTCCTTTAAAGCAGCTTGTGAGTTTCTTCCACTCAGTAGGGTCGCTGAGTGACATCACTGTGTTTATATGGGGGGAGGGGAGTGCGTGGGCATGGAGGCATGTGTGTTATCTAGGGCTCCCCAACGTAGCCCTTGTGCTCCGTTGTTGTTTTGGGCGAGACCGAAGTCAGGCCTGTTTTGAGACCTTTGCCCTGGGTTGAGCTTAGACTGAACAAAAAAAAAAAAAAAACACCACCCCTCTGTATCAGAGGAAGAGCGCCCCTGATGCAGGTCCAAGGGCTAAAGCCAAAGGGACTATATGGCCCCTGCCTGACGTTTGTGGGGCAGATATTGAATTCTGGCTGGACTTGTTGAATCTTTATGAAATCATTCTTTCTTTTCTATTCATATGGTAAAATATGTGCTTCTCTTCCCATAGGTTTGTATAAATAAGGAAATTTTTATTCAAACTCTGACTTTATTCTCTTTTTGTAATAGTTTCTTGTTTTTCTTTCTTAAAATAAAATTGTGATTCTTTAATACTGGCATATCTTTCATATAAGTAATTATAAACTTAATAGTTTTGTCCTACATTTTACTACCAAATCAGAGCGAAACTAAAAACACCTTTTTTGGATAGAAATCAAAGCCTAAATGTGCACCGTTCCCACCTCAAAGAGTTAGTTGCTATCAACATTCCCATATCCTGTTCTGACCTGCATGAGAGTTAGACAACAGCTTCCACAAAAACAATTCCCTTTCCATTATTTGAGCAGATTTCTGTCTCTTTTTACAGCAGGAAAGTTATATGATGGTGAGAGTCAGCAGGGACACTCAGCCTCCCAGACTGAGGGAGTCTAGACCAGACTTGGGCTTGGCTGACGGTTCAGACTGGCCTGCTTGTGGATTGGCAGCCGCTCATAAACACACTCCAGTCTATAAGCTATTTCCATTCAGCCTGTTCACCACAGCCTGGCCTGTAACATGCATCGTGGCGTGCCCTTGGCCCTCATGTCACATCCAGCTCTTCAGAAGGAATGCAACCCAGACCTTGCCTGGTTGACCAGCAGTTGCTCAGCCAAGACCAGAAGATCAGAAATGTTTTACCCTTCATGACATATCTGCTTGTTTTATGGCTAAGGAGTTAATTTTTAAAGTTGTATGATAATTAACATCATAAATCATTTACCAGAAGATGATTGAAAATTCTCTTGAAAAGACAGATGCCACCAAGAAACCTATTTCAGTAGTTTAATTCAATCTAAATAAGTATACAGAATTATTACAGAATGGGTAATGCATACAAAGATTCTATTTTTTGGTACATCTGTTTCTTTCGTCTAAAGGCTGCATCTATCCCTGTTTCCCATCATTCAACTTTCTGTCGTTGTACTTTACTGCATCATTCTGCAGCGATGAACTTCTGTGCCTTAAGACTCCGATCAATGTCTGATGGATAGCCTTTAAGCTTACAGCCTTCCCCGTGACTGTGGTGGTCATGCGTAACATGTCTGTTTTAAAAGCCTTTTTCTGTTTCTGTTGCTTTTTCACAGAGGCCCAATATGGACTTTTTCACCTGTGAGCAATTAAGAAAAATTAAGTATTAATACTATTGATTCAGTGGAAAAACAACAAAAAAAGTTTGTTTTAATGCTGTTTGAATTATTAAAAAAAAAAAAGAACAACAAAAGTCTTAAAAGATGCACATCAACATCTTGGATTAAAAAAAAAACTGTTTGGGAATCTTAATTTCTCCTCCTCCTGCTTTATAATGCACTGGAAAAAAATTGAGTCTTTTTTTTCCTAAAATAAGTTTTCTTCCCCAATTTACACTTTAAAATAAGAAAAATCAATTGCATCGTCTTATTTCAAGTGCATATTATCTAATTATCTTATTTTAAGAGTAAAAATACTCATTCCATTGGCAAACTATCTCCTTTACCTTCTCAAAACAAGGATAATGCAGCAGTTAGATAAAGTGTCTGTGTGCTGACCACAGCACTGTCCCATCGCAGGTTGAGACAATCAGTGTGTTTATCACTGAAATGGTACCAGGTGAGGTGTGCAAGGGGAATATATTCGACTAGCCTTTGTGTCAAAGAGCTGCTGGTTTGCTGCTGCGTTGTCATCAACCAAAGGAACTCTGTTGGAAAGCTCATGTCTTGAGGCCAGTTACATAATCCCCTGGCACTTGAAGTGTGTGTACGCTGGAGCAGATAGTAGACTTGAGGAACGGCATCCACCCTACCATACACTGGGCCAAAGTGGGATTTTATAAATAGCGGTAGAGCGTGGGCCGTGGGGCTGGGCTGAGCTTCGTGATGTCACTCAAACACTACTAGAGCACTCCTTGCTTAACTTCCTGTCGGAAACAATCCCTGCTTGTCCCAAAGAGATCCTCAGCGCCTCCCCCTTCCAACCATTCATCCTCCGTTAAGGCGCAGCACCAGACAGAGCTCTAATCTAGGATTTCACAATCCCTCTGCAGGGTCTGTGGTTCATTCATCTGCTGTGTGTAAAAAAAAAAGAAAAAAAGACAAGATTGGCATGTAGGGCAACATAAATTTTGGAGCTCACACCCTTTGCAGCTAATAATGCTAAAGTTAATGGCTCACATTAGAAAAATGCTTGTAGTAGTGTTCCTACACAGCTGATGAAGTGCTTCAAGTGATTCATTCAGAAAAGGTTTATCTGAAATTTTCATTATGACTGTTTTTACTTCTGACTCATGTGTAGTCAGCACCTGCACGAGTTATCCTCCAGCCTGCTTTTGAAAACAGTTTTCACTAGTTCCTGTTTATGTATAGCCCTGAAGAAGTACTCTGAAACTTTGCATCTCTTTTGCACTTTGACATCACTTAAAACTAAATCTAGCTCATTCTTACCCTCCAAAGTAAAGAAATAAAAAAAAAAAAAATTGTCCATAATTGTTTTTCTGGCTGGTTGCAGCCAGAAGACCAGATTCTGATTCACAAATGTACACATTCATTTAAGGTATTCCTGTTTCCCGTTTAAATCAGCCACAAAACCAGTGCAACTGGTTCAAAGTCCCAGGATGAAGCTCAGACTCCTGTTGCTAAGTTACAGATGAATTTTTTCCCCTATTTTTAGCGCTCAAGACCAGGATCCTTGTTGCAAGAATGTTTTTTCATTTGAAATATGATAATTGTCATAAAATGAATTGTTTCATGCCATCCTGAACTATAGTAATTAGATAATAGATGAGAGAAGCCTTAATGCAGAGCCGTCCTCTGGGGGATGGAGACTACATCTACACGAAGATGTTGAGTAGAGCCATTTTATTAAATCATCACAGCTTTTATGAGGCAGTGCATTTTTTTTTTCAGTGAGATCAGTTACCTTTTCTTCCAACTTAGCCTGAGAATATCATTCTTATTGTTTTGTCTGATTTATTTCAGGTACAGCGGTGTCTTCCCGAGCCTCAACATGGCAGTGAAGCGGCGTGAACAGGCTCTGCAGGACTACAAGCGCTTGCAATCTAAAGTGGAGAAGTATGAAGAGAAGGAAAAAACCGGGCCGGTTATGGTCAAACTATGTCAGGTAATGTTGGTGTTGCATCAATGCCTGCCATGGTCTGAATGAAGAGAAGGGAGGGCTCACCTGCTTTTGTTTATTACGTGTCCTGAGAACGGAGCATCAGTAGTGTAAAAAGACACAAATGCTGACTGGATATGAATAAAGTAGTTTAGCACATGCATACAGTACATGTGCACTCCTTCACCCACGCAAGCTGGCAGGCTCTCTCAAGTTGTGCCTTTTCAAAAAAAAAAAAATCCCCGCTGCACAGCTACAGGCATAATTGAGAATTGTAGAGACACACATACACGCAGCGCGAGGCCACTACAGAAGCGTGCACATTCACAGATAATGCTGCAGTGCTGCCTATGCTGTTGCCTCTAACACATCCTCACATGGTGAGCCACCCACACACACAGGGAAAAGCACCGTCAGGGGAACAAAGCCTTGAAGAGGCCCAACATCCCTGCCCTTTGAATCCCTGCACTCTTAAAGAAAGGACCCCACCTCAGAGTTAGTGGGCCATTCCAGCACACAACTGTGGCGAAATGAAACCTGTAGAGGGATACCTGTGGTAAAGTGGCACCTAAACAATATGTTACTGTATGTTTTTTTTTTTTTTTTTTTTTTAACTCCCCCTGTCCCCCTTAATAAAAATTCTCACCCTCTCACAATTATTCATTGTGCGTTCCATAACTCCATGCCTACAGCAGACTACCCACTAATACATTCACACAGAGATCAGTGGTGCTGGAGTCCACTCACAGCCAAGTCTGCCCACATTACCCACTCCTCCTCACTGTGGTCGTGATTACAGCCTTTTTTTTGCACCGCATCTCCGTGGGAATTAGGCAAATATATTTCATAACAATAAGAAAAACATCACTCATGGTGGCTCAGGTAATGAATTTACTCAGAACCAACTTATATCAGTGGGAATGTGTGTTTTCTCTCCTAACCTGGAACTGTTTTCTCGGAAAAGAAGATAACATACATTGTCACATTCTGGAAAACTCTGGAAAGGGATTTCATCATTCATTCATTCATTCGTCCATCCATGCATCCAGCTTACAAACTCTGTAGTTTTTCAGGTGTGCTCTTCATAGTGGCTCTCATAGTGAGGGTTTGTATTTTTAAAACGATATCAGAAAAGACTTCAAATTGGTTAAACTTGAGTGTGAGAAATGAGGAAGTGCAGCTTTGTAGAAGTTGCAGGAACCCTGCATGTTCTCTATAGTCGGGCACGTGTGACCTGTTGGTCTTTCTGTTATTTTTCAGGCAAAAGATGAGCTGCGCCCAGTCAGGGACGACTTCGAAGCCAAGAACAAGCAGCTTCTGGACGAGATGCCCAAATTCTACCAGAGTCGCATCGACTACTTCCAGCCCAGCTTTGAGGCTCTCATCCGTGCGCAGGTTAGTAAACTTCTCCATAAACGCAGACCCACGAAGGCGCTCGCAGCTGCAGACACACCCTTCCAGCAGTGAGCTGTTAACAGTGGATAAAGTGTCTGATGAAGGGTGTGTTTAACTCAGGGCAGTCTGTCTCCCTCTCTGCGGTCCTAATGTGATTAACCCCCAGTAACGGCCCACGCTGCTTTGAGGAAGGCCTCATCTGTCTGGCTCCGCTGCTGTCCTGCAGGCCTTCCTCCAACCTGGAGTTTGTCTTTAAGCAGCTGAGTGTCTGAAGTTAGCGCCGCCACATCCCCTCCCCCCCGACACAGACCTGCTTGGCCCATGTCATTTCCTCTCTGGGACAGTCACTGGAACACACCTAATTAGTAAATTAGATTATCTGAGACTTATTGACAATTAGGAGTTTGATGATGCACTTTCAACTTGCAAATTGAGCAGGAAAAAAAAAGGCTGTATTTTAAGAATCTGTTTGTTAAACTAGTTTTGAAGTATTTTCACCTGGACATTTTCAACAAGCAGAAGAAGAGGAAGATGGGTAGAGCTGATCTTGAGCCATGCGCTCCTCTTCATCCCTGCTGTGTCAGATAAAGGCACAAAGGCAGCTTTTGTTGTGAGCATTCAACTTCTCTATGAGAGGTCTCATCCAATAATGTTCAGAGTCAGCACAGGCTGATATGAGCTTCTCACAGTGTCCTAACCTCTGCTAAAACAGGCTGAGATTCACCCAACAGGCTTTTTAGAGCTGGACCAGATTTCTGTTTGTCTTTATGGATTAAGCTGGAGATTCCTGTTATATCAAAGTCTGAATGTTTTTTTTTTATCCTAATGACAGTTAAGAAAAAAAAAAAAATCCCTGACTTTAGTTTAATTTTTATTTAACTCTGTGCTGCAGAGTGAAATAAAGATGCATTTAGAGACGAAAGGTTGAAAGAGTTCATAGCTTTGATGCATTTGATAAATATAAAACAAAGGCATCAACTTACAATATAAATAATTAGAATTAAAATAATTAAATGTTAATTGAACTTTGTTGATCTCACATTGTAGTAATTTACCTCTGCATTTAACCCATCCCTTTGGGGAGCAGTGGGCTGCCATTGTGCCGCGCCCAGGGAGCAGTGTGGGGTTAAGGGTCTTGCTCAGGAACCCATAGTAGAGGCTGTGGGATGCGAACTAGTTACTTGCAACCTTCTCAGAGCACAAGCGCACAGCCCTAACCACTAGGCCAACAATCCCCCACAACTGAATCATACATTTCTGGAAATGAAAATAGTTATATTGGGTTTGATACTGGGACTTATTAAAAAATGCTGTTCATTAAGGAATGGTTTTTAAATTAATATTCTTATTGTACTTATACCTTCGAGTTGTTTTGTTCTCAGCATCAAACTTATATTTAATCAGCTGGGTAACCTGTTGGGTCTGAAGCTCACAGCTTATCAGCTGTAGCTTTTAAAAAGTATTAACTTACCATCATTACAATGGATTTTTTTATTCTAAACAACAGAATAATGATGAGCAGAGTAGTGACGTTGCAACCAGCGAACCAGATCTGGATTCACAAATGATGGATAAAAAAACCTGAGGTCTCTGGTAGTTTCTCATTAAATACCACAGAAATTATTTAATATGAGTTAAAACGGAAGCAGAAGCCGAGCATAAAATGTTCAGGGTGAGCTACTGTCTTGCTTAGAAGAAACAGTTATTTTCAGATTAGAGACGGGAGATATGGACCCTAAAATTCTATCACAGTAGTTTATGGTTGTTATTGAGATGACTATGAAATTACATTAAAAGGTATTTTATTATTCTTTAGCATCATCTTGTCTACATGTTATAAAACTGCATACTGTGGTTAAAAAAAAAAAAAAACCTACCTGTTGATAAATAGTACGCATTAGGCAGGGCAAAAGTACTTCAAAATAGTATATAGTAGTTATATTGAAAATTGAACATTGAAGCTATTAGGGGAGCGACAGTCGGATAAAAAAAAAATCCAGATTATTTTAATGATGTGAATCTTTATAGTGGCAGGGAGACGAATTCATGACCTATTTTTTCACATTTTCAAACTAACTATAAAACTATCCAAAACCATTTCATTCGGTATCTAGTTTCTGTGACAAAATTTTGATACTAAAGTTTTGCTTTCTAGCAAACGTGGTAACGTCTCTAAGTAGCAGCAGTTGTGTGTGGCTGAGCTGACTCCCAGCACTGACCTGAGTAATTGTAATAGTGGCTTTGGGCACAGAGGGCACAGTGATCTGGTGTACATTATCATCACCGTTCATATGGACATTTCCGACGGCCCTTTCAACAAGTCTCTTTTTGGGGAAAAAAGTGTATCCGTTTTCCCCCTACAAACAGCAGAAACCCAATACTTAGAGCCCACTCATGTGGTTTAGGTGGCACATATTGGTGTAAACAGGCAATGTCTTTCAGACTGAGCACCTCAAAGAGCCGGTGTAAAGTGGTTTACAGACCTGACATTATTCCTTTTGGCCTGAAATCCTTATTATACTTCTGACAAACTTCTGAGTCAACAAATAATTCGATTCAGTAAGTAAATCTTTTCTCGTTTGTTATCTTGCTTGGTCCTGTTATTTCCTCCTGCAGTGGAAAATATATGTTGTCTCACAGACGCCTTACACGTCCCCTCAAGAGCGTGGCATTGTTTGCATTGCTGTTTGAATAAATATTGAGCTGTGGGTTTCAAGGGGGTTTCATTTCCCAGTACTTTTATACTCTGCCTACTCTTCTTGGAGTCCTGTAATGTGATTAAAGTCTATTAATCATCAAAGCAACTCTCTAGGGAGCCTGACTCATGCACTAAGGGGAAGAAGCAGGGGTGGGAAGTGTCAAGAAAGCTTTCAGTTAACACTATCTCTTGTTCAGATTGGGAGAGAAAAGCAGGGTCACTATCAGCTCTACTGCTGGTTTTGGGGGGCCCTGTGGGATGTTTAATTTCTACTCGCTCCCTTTTTTCAAATCACTCCTCATTTGTAAAAGACGTATGAGACTAGCAGCTTCAGATGAGAGTTTAAGCACAATTAGACTACTACTAAGGTCTGTGGATTAACCCCTGAACATGTTCATTTTAGAGGAAAGATAGAACCACATTCTTCCCTCCACGTCACAATATTTTTTTCGTTTGTTTTCTGCCCCTAAGGTGGTCTACTTCACTGAAATGCACAATATCTTCAGCGAATTAACGGACAAGATCGACCAAGCTGGGCTGACTGATGAGCAGAGGCAGAAGGAGACCGAGGCCAAGCTCAGCGAGCTGCGCTCTCTGTCAATTGTCGCGGACGACTGAGGCGGGAACGCCGAGGATTGGGATGTGCTCTTTTCATGCCTCTCTGAATGGATTTTACTCTCCGAGCTGCTCTGGAGTTCAGACGGACAGCAATGGCCTTAAAATGATGGGCGGTTTCTGTAATTGCAGCCCCACACGTTTTGCACTACATCCTTGTGACTTCTTGTTTTTTCCCTCTGTGCAAAGACATTGTAATCCGGAGCAGCTCAATGCCACATTAACTAAGCCATCAGCCAAGTGCGACTTTATCAGCCAATATGTTTTTTCCTGTACCAGAATCAGGTTTCAATAGAGCAAATTAAACTGCATTATTTTTGAGAGATTTTGTTTTATAAGGGTACATTTAAACAGAAATGTTTTCATCTGTTACTAAACTTCAAATTAATTGTTTAACTCAAAGATTAATATAAACAGATGTCAGGATATAAAATGTAGTTAATGTGATATTGAAGTTCTGTGCCATCATGTGTAACGGCAGGTTTTAAACCTTTTTAAAATTGCTGTATAATGAGTCCAATCTGTCCTGACTTTAAATAATCTAAGGTGAGCCTATGCCTCCTTTGAAAGGTCTTCTATCCACTCAGACTGGGGACGCAGACAGATTGAGCCAAGAAAAAAAAAGCTTGTACTCCCTCTAGTGGGAATTTGTGATCACAGCACCCACTTTCCTTTTGTTCACAGCACCCATCCTTTGTTCTATTGTCAGTGAGAGTATGTGTTAGCGAGGAGCCTCACACATTGTTGGCGTGCTAGAAAGTCCCTTCTCTTCACCCTCAACACCAGGGTTGGAAGCCAGTTTTGCTTTCTGGCCTCCTATAATTTTGGATGGAGTCGTACTGCTTTGTTTTCACTCTATTGGGATGAGCCTCCCGTATGAAAGCTAAACTATTCAGTTATGAGCACACATTGACTTTTCAGATGTGGCTTTGTTTTTCTTGTCTTTGTATGTTAAGTGGAATCTTTTCTATTTTCTTTTATATCTGTTTGAGTTGTTTTAAATGCACAACTTTAGAAATGAAGGTGCTTTTCTTAATCAGCTGTTAAATTATTTCATTATAGTCATTTTTTTTAACGCAACTAAGGGGATTCTTTGTCAGTTATTTTATTGCATTACTTTGTCAAATGTTGTGATCTTAATGAAGTAAAATCAACTTTAAGAAGAACGCCAGCTGGTTTCTCATTTGTCTACAAGTCTCAATTCAAAAGAAAAATACACAGTTTTAACAGTTTTTATTTCTAAAATCATTGCAGATTGAAATTATTTATTCTCAAAAGTTTAGCTTAAAATATCTTAGTCACAAGCATGACCAATTAGCAGAAACAAACATTAAACAAGAATTTATGTCCCTTAAACAGTTCAACGTTACAGCCAAAAATTAACATTTAATTGGGCTTGCAGTGATAAACATTAGTTTCTATTTTTAAAAACTAAAGAAAGATTTGGTTTTAGCTGCTTTATTGAAAACTAAAGAGTACATATGTATTCAGCCAAATTCAACCATTTAATTGCAATGCAATAAAAGGTGGCATGATTAAAACAAAACTAGCATTCTGATCACCTAACACCCACAGGGAGGAACATAGTGGTGGCAGCATCATGCTGCGTGAATGTTTTTCATCAATTTATGATGGACTGAGCTTAATACAAGGAAATTGGTCTGTCACTAGATCAACAACAAAGACATTCTCGTTTCTGTCTGATAGTTTTCAAAGAAAAACTGAAGAAAATGTCCATCTGATGTCAAACTGACAGAGCTAAAGTCACAGCCAAACAAGCCTAACTATTGATTTAGAGGAAGCTGAACATAAACACCAGTTTTCACATTTCTATTCGTAAAACTAAAACCGTGCATCCTTTTCCTTTCAAGGTTCCCATGTAATCTTGAACAGCTGTGAAAGTATATAATAATTAGAAGAAAAAAAAATCAAAACTCAACATTTTCAAACTTTGTTGTTCTATAACTTCGAAAAGATGAATATACATATATAGTTTGTAATACCTTTATTAGATCGACTCGTAATTTAACCAGGACCTTTAGATTTTTGGACATTTTGATTTTTGAGCTTCCGGATCCATTTATTTTAGAATTTCAAAATGGGCCCTAAGTTCTTAAAATCAATTAAGTTGAAATACTTGATGTGTAAAAAGTGAACAGTCGACTGTTTATATCTAAATTTCAAAACAGACAAAAAAAAACCTGAACTCTGTGATGAATGTGTAAGAACGGTGTAATTCATTGCTGTGTGATGCAAGTCCCAATAAAATACAATATAATTTAAGGATGTAACTTAGTGAAAACTGAAGTATTCAAGGGGTATGAATACTTTTGTTTAGTAATTTGTTTAGTAATGTACGCCATGCTCATTTGATTCCCCAACAACTGTACAACAGAAACCTACAGGTAATTCACCTTTAATCAGCAAATGTCCCCGGTACACTTAGCTTCTTAAAAATCTCCTGAAAAGAAGTACATTGTGAATTAAATAAACTATTTCCGAAGGTGACATCTTTTGTAATTCGGTTCTCTACAAATAACACCTCTTCCCATTAACATCTCAGGCGAACTATGTGGACGGATTAGAGATGACAGTGAGATCATGAAGGAGCATTTTGATCTGATGCTTGGATGGACTGACCAGAAATGCATCTGAATACGATGTGATCAAAGTTGAGTTAAAACACTAACATTCTTCAGGTACCGCTGACAGCTTCCCCCTCTGCTGACCCTAAGCTGTTCTGCTAATGTGGACTCTTGTACATGTTCGCCAGCTGCTCTTGAAACACTCTGCGGATGTCGGCGCGCCTGCTCTTTAGGGTGGGCGTGAGAAGGCCGTTAGCGACGCTGAACGTCTCCGGATGTAAATAAAGATCCCTCACCTAAGGAAAAAAAAAAAAAAGGTGCAGTCACTAAGATGTACGTCACTGCTGTTTAAATGATGTTGCAAACGTCTCACCTGTTCAAAGGACTTTAGCCCGGCCTCCTTCCCCAATGCTCTCATGTCTTCTAGGATGGCATTTTTTACATCCTGTTTGCAAAGATAAATATTTTTTTCTTTTTCAGGTTATAAGATTAGAACATTAGAATTCTATGAACTTGCCGTACAGGGTTCTGGCACAGCTCCTGGTAGGACCCCTCAAAGCCCCTCTCCTTAGCCCATTCAACAAACACCTCTCGATCAGGCACAACTATGCCCACCACATAGGACTGCAGAAATAAAAAAGCAAAAAACACAGAGTGAAATATTTCAAACGCACCCTTAATAATGGAGATTAGAAGTCGATTTTATGTGCTTACCTGTAAACTGTCTCCATGCACAAAAACCTGGAGCACAGGAACCGAACGCAGGTAGATGTTCTCTATCTTCTCTGGAGCGATGTACTCACCCTGGGCCAGCTTAAAGATGTGCTTCTTCCTGTCGATGATGCGCAGCGTGCCGTTCTGACAAAAATTAAGGTACAAAAAACTTTTTTTTTTCTAAAAATATGCATACGTGCAACATGAAAAATTTTTATACATCTTCAATGTATTCCTACTTTGTAAGCTTGATTGACTAACAGAGAGTGGCGCCTCATTGTGATGTGGAAGGACAATAAAAACACAAATCTGAAACATGACCGGTGCATTTGAGAGATCCAGCTGTCAGAGATGAGCCAACAGCGTTATGAAGAGCAAAGAATACAACAGACAGGTCAGGGATAAATCTTTAAAGCTTGCAGTATAACCTAATCCTAGTTTTCAACATGAATTATCTGAAAACAAAGAGTTTGGTGCAGTTAATCTCCCAACAAGATGATGATCAGGATAGCTTAGAGAAAGCACTGTTGAGAGATGAAGGATGAAATTAAAATTCATAGAGGGGCTGAATACAGATGCATGCCTCACTTTTCAGATTTTTCTTTTTCTTCTTCTTCACAACTGACTTTTTTTAGGTAACCAATCATATACCGGTAAAATGGCTTCATTTTGAGGAGACAAAATGTGAAACTTCATTCTGATGCCATCTGTAATAGTTGGATTATTTCCCAACTTACCGGAAGCCACTGGCCCACATCTCCGGTGTGCAGCCAGCCATCACTGTCCAAGGCCTCCGCTGTCTTCTCTGGGTCCTTCAGATAACCTTTGAATACACTGGGGCCACGGATACAGATCTACCAAGACAAAAGACAGCAATGTATCTCCAGGCTCCAGGCGTGCCGGGAACATGTGAAGCATGACTGAGCCTTTTTCCAAAAAACTCACCTCTCCTTCTCCATTCTTAGCAAAGTAGTTCATCTCAGGGATGTCCACCACCTTTACCATGGCGCACGGTAAAGGAGCTCCAACATGACCTTAAAAAGACACACATCCACTTATCTGCTGAAAACAGGAGAACCTTTATAGGCTGTTAAAATGAGCAATGCTCAAACCTGTGCTGCTGTCGCCTATCAAAGAGAAAGTGCAGCCTCCGGTGCACTCCGTCTGTCCGTAGCCCTCACATATTATACAGCCCATCGTGGCTCTGAGGAAGGACAAAACGGTGGAGGAGATGGGTGCTGAGGCAGTCAAGGCAAACCGGAGGTTACCTCCTAAACTGGCCTGAAACACAGAGGAAAACCCACATGAAAACATGACAAAAAAGTTCAGTGTTAAAAGACGGCCGTGTGGGGGTCGGAGTTCATTTCCATTTGAACTTTTATCACTCTTGGTCAGTTTCCCGTCTGAACCCATGCAGCAAGCCAAACTGTTTCAGCTCTGCGTTGCATGTGTGAATGCCTCTTCAATAAACTCCCACAGGTCCAATATGCTGCTGGTGATTCTTGGCACCGGCTGCTGGAACCACTCTGCTCCTCTTGGAAAGCTTGGATTCAAATTCCGGTGTAATTTGCAAGCTACGTGTTGACAGGTAATTTAACCGCTTAACTCTGCGAATTAATGTGAATGAAACACGGAGGAATAAAAGTTAACGGAAAATAAATCATTACAGAGGCAATATCCATAACTGACCATAGAGATTAGATATGGAGTGGCCTGATCAAAGGGAATGATAGAGAAAATGATTACAGATACCACTATGGAGAGCATTTTAATATCAGATCTGACACAAATCAATCAATGAATGAAAACGGAGATATATTTTCTTTTTCTACAGAAACATAGAACTATGGCCTTGGTAGATATAACAATTTAGTCAAATGGATACCTTTTATTGTTTAATACAGAAGCATAGAGGTGGTATCGTCATGATATGGGACATCTTAGTTGGAAAGAAAAGTTTGCAGATAACAACATATAATTTAAATATAAACCCACTTTGATTCTTGAATACATTAAGGCTAATTTAAGGCTGTTTTTAAAGAAAATATTAAAACTGTTGCATTTGAATTAATTTGAATCACTGGCTTGAATTAAGAAAAAATGAAAAGTTAATTGACTTTAAATCCCGAAGCCTTCAAGGCATAGAAGTGGAAGCATCATGGTATGGGGCAGCCAGACTCCCAAGAAATGCACCATATCATGTCAGTATAAACTAAGAGACTGAATCCTACATTCATAAAGAGACAGAAAACAAATCCTGACTTAAAGCATTTCTTTTTTTATTATAAGTTAACCAAAATCCTGAATGACACACCGAGGAGGCTTTATTTCTCATAAACTGAAGGGAAGAAATAGCAAGATGAAATTCAGAGACAGCTTCAAAGCGTATTCTGACACCATTCATTTTAACATGACATATAAGAATTTTTTTATTGTTTAAGAAAAAAATATATAAAGATCTAACCAATAATCTAGCTGTAGAGTTGATACTAAAGTTTATCATCATGTTTGACCTTAAACCTATAAGCAGCACACTCTCCATACTGATGTAAATGTATCCACCAGCGTTTTTTAGTCTGACCTGAATTCTGTTGAACACCAGTTTATCCCACAGACTGTCGTTCCGTATAATCCCTCTGCGGAGCTCGGCCTGCTTTCTCCTGACGGCGTAGTGAAGCAGAGCCCGCTGAAACGGAGAGGTCACAGAGCCCAGGATCTAGGAGGGAAAACCTTCGAGATGAGCATCTCGTTCGCTGCAGCCTTCACAGGAGCAAGAAAACTGAGCGCTTCACTGACCTTATCGTAGATGCGAGTAAGAATACGAGGCACAACAGGGAAGAGGGTCGGTTTGAGGGTTTTAATGTCATCCATTAGAAGAGAAATGTCCCCCTGGAAGAATCCCACTCGGGCTCCATAGCAGTACATTGTGAGCTGCGACAGGAAGGCATTTCATTTTAGGCCGACAGAGAAACACTCAGATAAAAATGTCTCTGAAGAGGATGAACTACCTGGATCATCCTCTCAAACATGTGGGCAAGAGGCAGGTAAGAGATCGACACATCGTCTTGCTGGATTACAAAGGAACCCTGAGAGACGACAGGAAACAAGATGAGCAAAGCTCGGGGGAGAGATTGCATTCAGGCAGCGGGATACGGCGAGGCCCCGCAGGCAATAAAACACACTTCTTTTCAGCAGCAGTTAGATGGAAGAATCTCTAGACAGAGGCAATTAGTTAAAGTAGCTCACAGCGACGTGGGGAAATCAAACATCCAATTAATCATACCATTAGACACAGCAGGGAGGGGGACAGGTTTGAGATACAAGCAGATGGGAGAGCGACCCTAGCTGGAAGGCTGTTCTCAATTAGACAAGGAGGTGGAAGTGTAGACAGACCTCCAGGATCTTAATGACAGAGGAAGTATTGGAGGCGATGTTCCCGTGGGTGATCATGGCTCCCTTGGGCTTCCCTGAATAAATAAACAAGAAATTACTGCAGTGCCCTGCAGAGCAAAGGAACCTACAGTGGTACCACAAAGAAGGACTGTAAGTGGGCACTGAGGGACGTTCATCTAATGATGTTAGAGGGGTATAATTACACCGAGACCTCTGAGATCAGACGTACCTGTGGTTCCACTGGTGAAGCAAACTACTGCCAGATCCTGAGGCTGGGGCAGCTGCAGCAGACAGAGAAAAAGTATGAGAACATGACTCAGGTTTAGAGAGGAGGAAGCCCTCGGTCTGGTTTATAAGTGAGTGCTAATGATATCTTGCTGGACAGGAGCAACTACAGAGCCGTCATGCAGGTATGTAGGAGACCATGAATCAGTTTGATGCGGTGATGTCGCAGCTGAGAGGACAAACTCACCACAGGATCTTTGAGGTTCTGTTTTCCCAGCTCCTACAGCAGGCACAGTTTACACATCATCATTGATGGAGCAATTAAAAGCATGTATATGTTAAAAAAGTCTCCAATTGGTGCTTGTTCCCACGCACCATGAGCTGCTCCCGGTTAAGGACGTCCACCGCACACTTCTTGGCCCTCTCCCCAAAGGCTTGGCTGAAGTCTTCAAACAGAACCAGGCAGGAGATCTTGGGAGTCATGCCTTTCTCCTTGCACTCCAGCAACAGCGCTGCCCTCTCCTCCCGGTCGCAAACAACTATGGACATCTCAGCTAAACAGACGCAAGTTTTAAAGTTTTTGTGCAGATATTTCTGGCTTAAGTGCAAAAAAAAATAAAAAATGGATGGCCCTACAACATTTTCACATTCTGTGCCGCTAAAAAAAAACAAAAAAAACAAAAAAAAAAAAACACAAAGCTGCATGCATTTTATTTGGATGTTGTGTGATAAACCTAGAATGTGAGAAGAAAAGAGTCATATTTTGCTTTTCTTTTCTTTTCTTTTTTAACAGAATAAAGAAATCATGCAAAGGAATGCATGTTTATCTAGACCCCTGGAGTGGAAGTAACTTTCACTCCGATTACAGTTGACTCTAGGGCTGCAAGTAACAATTATTTTGCAAATTGATTATTCTGGCGAGTATTTTTTCGATTAATTGTTTATTAATCGGATAGCCAAAGGTTACTTAAAAAATTTTTAAGAAATTTAACCAGGTAAAACTACAACTTTTCCACTTGAGGAATTCTGAGAAACAATGCTTTTATCTTAAATGCAAAATATTTATATATATATTCTTTTTACAATATTGGTATAATTACCACTCTAAGTGGGTCACCCTGTCAGCTAAAGACATGTTTTAGAGTCTCTAAACTCCAGTTAACGAATAATCGATTACTGAATTAGTTGACAATTAATTGAATAATAGATTAATCCTATTAATTGTTTCAGCCTTAGTTGAGTCTTTTTGGTTTATATCTCCAACACATACAGAAACAAAAGTGTCTTCCAAAATATTGCAAAAACTTAAAGCTCAATCAGCCATAGATTCATCCTAATATATCAGGTCTCCTTTTAGTTGGATTTAGGTCTTTAACTTTGAGCCTCCTGCTAGAAAGAGAACCTGCTGTCCAGTCTTGAGTCTTTTCCTACTTCACAGGTTTGGTTTTCTTCTATGATAACTCAGTTTATAGCTGCTTTTATCTCTCTATCACCTTTGACCAGATTTCCTGTCCCTGCTGAGGAAAAGCTTCCCCACTGCACAGGGCTGCAACGCCTTTGTTTCACTATGGAAAAACAGTCATGGAAAGAAAGAAATGTTGTCCTCTTGTTCCAAAGGAAAATGACCTGAAGAATACAACAAAAACAAGTGAAGGCTGATATATATATTTTGGTGACAGTGCAGGTTTCTGCTCACAGAGGATTTTGCATGTTGGTCAAAATATTCAAGCTCCACCTGGTTGTCTTTGCTGTATCCCCGAGGTGGTTTATTGTAAACTCCAAATGGGGCTATTTTTAACAGCCTTCTTTCAAAGCTGGCTTTTTTGTGCTTCTTTGTTCATAAAAATTTGACTTTTGAATGCACAGCTAGAAGTAGTCCAGTCCAAAGATTCTTCAAACCTGAGCTGTGAGTTTATGCAGCTCCTCCACAGTTATTAAAAACAGCTCAGTTGCCTCTTTGATTAATGCTCTCCTTGCCTGAATTGTTAGTTTAGATAAGAAGACGTGTCCTAGTAGGTTTATTCTCATGCAACAGTTTTGGGATGAGGGATTTAACAGTTCTCAGTGAAACATTTAAAGATATCATTAAAAAAATTATTGACATATATTATTTATATGCTTTTGTTATTCACTATAGCTCTTAATGAACATACACAGGTTTCACAGTACAGCTGAATTCATACTGAGATTTTTAAAGCGATTTGCCCCACTGGATTTCATTTAGGGGTGTCAGTGTAATTTCTTTTTTTTTTTTAATGGATAAAAGGTGTTAAACGTTATTTCAGCTGAATTCTTGCCTTCAGCTGCCGCTGCTCTCTTCTTGCTCCTTTAATATTTAAAATAAAGGAACCCCTTAATTTGCTCCAAACAAATCCACTGGACTGTGTTTCCAAGTTTGAAGACGTTTCGCTTCCCATCCAGGAAGGTTTTCCAATTCAAAATGTCCGAATTAGCGCTGAGTTCCAAGCTTTATAGAGTAGCCCAAAATAAAGCCTTGTGTAAAACAAAGCCTTAATTTGTTTCTTTAAGATTTGGAGTGATGGAAACATTAAAAATGTGTCATATCAGTTCCTATTTTTTAAAGGAATGCTAAACTCCGACCGAAAAAGGGACGGTTTATTTACACATAAGATTCAAGGAATTATTTGAGACTATCACTGTAAAGTTTATATAAAGGTTTTATCTTTTCCTACATCTCAGTCTACTTTAATCTGCTAAGATCTTTCTTCTTTTTTTTTTTTTTTTTTATTAAATCTTTGAGATTGAATCATTGTTGAAGGTTTCAGAGACAGGTTCTCACCAAGGTTGAGGATGTGGACCATAGCCTCCAGCCCCAGCGTGTCATACAGAGGCACCAAAACTTTGGAGTATGTGTAACAGGCCATCTCTGAAATGACCCACTGCCACCAGCAGAGGGAGACAAAGCAGCATAGTTAGACTGACTCAGAAGCTTCACACAGAGGATTGTAGAAGGTTACACAAAAACAAAGTATTGTACATTCAGGCTTGTTTTGCTAAAAATACATATATTCTAAGCTGGTAAGAGTCAGAAAGTAAACCAAGGAAAGTGGATCTGTTAGGAATTAGATTATGATATTATATTTGGGGGATTTTAAATAATCCATCTTTGCATACGAATTTACATTTCGAGAGCATAACGATTTTAAAGGTTCAGGCCTGTTTTTACATGTTAAAAACATATAACCTGAAAAGCTGGGGTCATTTTAGGTCATTTTTTGCATATTTAGAGGAAAGCAGGGAAATGCTGAATCCTTATGGAAAAAATCTGTTAGATAAAAATCCTCAATTCATCCATATAAATTTCTCATCATTGTTAAACACAATGTCGATCTGATGAGTTATATCTGTGTATCTCACTGAAATTATGTGTTACATCATGTATAAACATGGAACGTCAGAGATCCGATGCTGGCTGATTTAAAATAATCAGTTTCGGCTTTCAGCTACATAAACGTCTTCTGCTGAAATCACATTAGGCTGACCCTCTGAAACCAAATTAAGGAACACATCAGGAGTTGAAACTAAACCCTCATTTTTCTGCAACCTTTCTTGCAATTAAAGCTTTAAGTTACAATTATTGAAAGGTAATCAAAAAGTCCACACCATGAAAATTCTCCCACCATGTTTCATAGTTCATGAGGTATTGAAGCGTTTAGCTTTAATTAGGCATGGTGTCCAACAGTTTGGTCAAATCTGTCCATAGGACATCTTTCCACAACCTTGTGAAGTGTTCAAATGTTACTTAGCAAAAGTAGAACCTATTGGGTATTTCTTTTATTTTAAGAAAAGCGTTTATTTTGGTAGTTTTTCCATAATTCCTTACACTTTTTCATTTAAGATGCCAACTGAGGCCTGCAGAGCCTTAAATGAAGTTTTCAGATAGTTCATTAGAACCTGCTATCAGGAAAATGGCTTTAAACTGAAGTTACTGAAGCTATTCACTAAAGCAAACTGGTTTTCAGAGACCGTCATCCATTTCACATCTCATTATTCTAAAGCGACGCACCAATGAGGGTTTTAAAAAAATATTTTTTACAAGAGAAATGTTTATTGTTTCCCCAATAATTCTTCAACAGCTTGATGTTGATAATAAAAGATGAGATATATACTATATATACAGACTAATATTTAGGCTGCCCTCATAGGCAGAAAAGTGACGCCTCCTAAAATGTTGACGTAAAGATGTAATCGATATAAGTTTTTCTCTTTCCTAAAGAGAAGTGAATTCCTACCTCTGGTCTGTTCGTGGAGTAAACCCCAACAAACTCTTGGCAACCTTTGGCAATCATGCCGCTCCCCATCCACTGGGCCTGTTGAGCCACCTGGAGGATCGGAGAACTTCAATCAATAAACAGCAGAGATTGACTCACTATGTTCAAATGTTATCCTGACTGAGAGATCAAACTTTAGCCGAGTCACAACCTGAGAGTAGGAGATCCACTCGTAGGGCTGGCCTGGCTTCCTGTAGCCAAGACATGGACGGTCTCCTGCAGAACACAAGGCAGACGTGTCATAAAGGTTCAAACCTCCGGAACAATGGTAGAACTGAACATTACGGATTTGACCAAAGCATTAGGAACATTTTTTATTTCCTCCATCAGCAGTGAATCCAACCTGCTTTTTTCAGACATCTAAAGTTCACTTTATTTTTTTAGTTTACTGTAGTTATTCAGAGCATTTTTGTCTCTGGAGTTTACTGTGACTTTATGCAATAGAGCAAGACACAGTAGACTTATTGTTAAGCAGAAGAAAATAAAAGAGCATGCAGCTGTAGAGCACTAATTTAATCTCACTCCCCAAAAATGCAGGATCCGTTTGGATGTACAGCTTTAACCGCAAAACACATTTGCAGTTACAGCTAATCCCTGTTACAGCTGTCCCTTGCCTTAGAAATGCACTTGGAAAATAAAAAAAAAGTAATATAATAGACTCATGAATCCTTTTCTTTCTACTTCACAGTTCTGTATTAGTCTGTGTTGATCCATCACACAAGCTCATAATGGAAAACATTTAGCACGGCATTGTGGGTATGTGTGCTTCATCCATCACCTGAGATCTTCAGACCTCTCTGGAACATCTCGTACACGGTCCTGATGTCTTCGTAGTAAAACTCCAGCAGGTTATCATCTTTAAGGAGAGCAGATCTCCTACAGCTGGGATCTCCCTGCAAACAGATCGGTTATTACCAGCGACTGACCGCCATGATGACAGGAAAGCACAATGGTAGGCCACTCACGCCGACAGCAACAGACTGGGCTTGTAGATCACAGGGAGGACGCATGGGCCGAGGTCGGGTCAGCAGCCAGTACACAGTGAGGGACGCCACCGCTCCTAAACCCAGCAGAGAGGAGGTGGATAAGGACGGCAGGAGATTCCACAGCTCCTCAGCTTTAGACCCTTTGAGTTCTGCATGGGAGGAAAGCGAACGCAACCACTCCTGGAGCTGCATAGCTGTAAACAGAGCAAAAGCAGAAGGAAAAGTATGTAAATTATATGGTACATAGGCAGATGCTTAGGTCTGCAGCAGAGCAAACCAAAAACAGAAATAAAGTGAGTTTCACTGCAAATGTCCTTCTTTTTAATCTGTTGGACCTTTCATCATTACCTCTAAAGCAGCAGTAAACTGTGTAGCACTAGACATGAGACCAGTTTCCTAAAATGGCTTCAAATTGATGGGTTTTTTGATGAAGAATTTTTTCAGTATAATATCACATTTAAGTACAAATTGTTTATGAAAGATTTTAACAACATTTTACTCAGTAATCTAAACCAAACACCATCATAGAACAGCCCTGAAGAAGACGTTTTTACAGGTTGTCAGCTTTATCTTAAAAGGTGCAGGATGCAACCCTGCAAAACTAATTCCTGCAGGCGGCCATTAGACACTTTTTAACAAACAAAAGCTTCTCATTCCCTCCTTTACCCGACTATGTATTTTTATGTACTATACTGTGAATAGATTAGTGGGGGCATTTGCCCCCTCGAAAAAATTTATCTCACCAATATTTTACTACTTTTTACTATTTCCTTTTTATTTTTGTCTCGTATCCATTTTGCGGGACCATTAACATCTCGCGACTTTACTGTTGTTCTCTGTCATTGAGATTAGAGTTTTGAAAACAATCCATCTCCTAAAGATTGTTAAAGTTTCTTCCAGTCATGAGATAAACTACACCCTACAAAACTTGAACCATTTTGTTTAATTAAAATCTGATTTAATTATCATTTTGTTAAAAAAA